TAACCTCAACGTGAAACTAAGTACTTCCCAACCAATATGAATAAAAGAGTCATGGAACAGTATCCAGATGTGAGACAGCACCTTCAACAGAAGCAATAAAATCAAGGAGCAAAATAATCTGAGAAAGCTGAAGGGGTTCTGGGCAACTTCTAACAGCTGCGTTGTTAATTAAAGACACACTACTGTGGAGGGGAGAGGGATCAAACTCCCACTGCAAAATATCTGCCCTCCTCTGTCAGCCAGTCCTTCTAGCACTGTTCTGTTGGTGCAGCTTTTGCTGAGTGTGGTTTGATGAGTGCCAGTGAGTATTGACATGCTAGTTGATAGTGAATTAACTTAGGGTGTGGGCATATTATAATCAGAAGAATTAAGTCGATTTATTAACATTTTCAGCAGGTACACAAAGCAATTGTCCAACAACAATCTTTTTAATGAAAATGAATACTGGCGATTTCCTAATGGTCTTCAGAGGTCCATGCATTTCACTTCAGTTTGTAAGTGGTATTCAGTGTTGATTTATTCAGGATTTTGCAGTAATTTGAATGAAAAATTCATTTTGATTGCTTCAGCATTTGTAACCATTTAACCAGTGGGTCAAATTTTAATTTACTCTTTAATTTTAAGATACCTTACAGCTTCTAAACCTAAGACGGTATCTTGTTCCCATTTGAGCCTGTTGAAGTCTTTCTGTCTCCAGAGACATTTTTGGGACTTGGGCCAGAAGAGTTGAGAGGCAGATTTGGTGTTTTGTGACATCACCAGGGTATATCCATCTTTGATTGGCTCTCTGGCCTGTCTGTCAGTCTTGATGACCAATCCCATGGTGACATAAAGAGACAAGGCTGCCACCCACCAGCAGTAGAATGCCATTTGACTGTGTATTTTGTTCCTTAATATGCAAACTCTTCTCAGCAAAGGAGAAACTAGGTAAGAAAAGTCATTTAAACTGATTTACCTGGTGCCTTGTGAGACACCAAGCCCAAAATTAAGTATATGAAACAATACTAAGGCCTCTGAAGATCAGCTGTTTTGAGAAACCATACCGGAAGTAAAATTGATTGTGGCTATGAAGGCATGTGAGGCCATTCATTTCAAGCTTCCTGAGCAAGGTAGGTCACATGATTGCATGGGACTCAAACTGTGGTTTAGTTAAAATCACAGCAAACTTGGGGCAGCTCTTAATTCCTTACTGGGCTAAGGGCACCCTTCATACATCTGCAGGTCCCAGGTTCCAGTTTTTACTACTTACTCATTTATGGGACATGGATTGGCAGTTACTGTCCATCTCTAATTATCGTCAAGGTGTTAGTGATCAGCTGCTAGCATGTTATTTTCAAGTCTGAATGGTGTATGGCTGGAAGGGGAACTTACAATTATAGTGAATATCCAGGACTCCTCTCTTTGTCTCCTGCAGAGCAGCCATACATGCATGCTATAAGCAGGATTGAATTCAGCTACTTTTCAAGTCGAGTTAGCCTTCAAACCTCTACTAAATGGACTCGGGGCATAAATAACTGCTACAGCATAGTGCTGAAGGCTGCAAGCATCCAAAGGCAATGAGGGTTGTCAGCTGGAGGAGCAAAAGGGTTGAGAGATACTTTTAAAATTTGTAATCCTGGTATCTACACCCATTATGAATATTAATGAAACAGGACAAGAACAAATGAAACATCTATCATTTCTCATCCCTATACCTGTATCTGGATCTCCAGCAAAGCTGTAGATTACATCAATGACAGCATCTAGGTAGGCCCCAGTAGGAATTTGCAGTTTGGAACAGGCAGTGATGGAGCTGTAGTGGTAAAAGCATAATCTGAGAGGTGTCATCCCCTTCCTCACCTGAAGACAAGCCTGTTTAGTTTCCTTCATCTGTGTTTTCCTGTCGACATGTATCTATTTTTAATTCTAGGTCCCTAGCCCCTGCAACCCCATCCCCCCAGCTAATCTAACCTCCCTGTCACTCAGTATTCTACCACTTTCCCAACACCAATTCCACCATTCTTATCCCTGGAACGCTTCACAACATCCCGTCTGATATTGCTCAAACCCCTTGTTTGCAACCTTGCTTCCTTACTCCATGGTCCTGCATCCACCAGAGTTGGTCTAGGGTGGGGTCATTTGGCAAAGAGCACGTGGACTGCAGACGGGGAATGCAGGGCAGATCATGAGCCTTATGCCTGCTATGAACAGCTGTAAATAAATTGCTGTAAAACCAATCCAAGTATTTGGAAAAGAGCCCATGTGACCCTGTAGAACCATCAACATGGCCTCCCAGTCAGCTATTCTGGACAGTGGCCAACTTTGAGTACAGGTTGGCTGCACTGAAGTCAGGGTGAAAACGGTGAAATACTCGGTGCTTGCAGTTAATGGGATTAGAGAGATCATTGAAATCCATGTGCATGTCACACCCTCAGAAGTTGTGCACACTCCTGGGAAACTTTTAATTTTATGGATATCTTGGATATTCCTGACACTTGAAGGCGACATAGTAAACTCCAGGAGACTGGACTTAATGATATGACTAATCACAGCTCGTTATTATTAACTTTCTCAAATGTGGAAGGTAGCCCATGCGTAGCTAATAATGAATCTACGCTACTAATCTCTGATGAACTTTAAACGTGATCCTTGTCAGTTGTCTGAGGTGGGAGAAGAAATCTGCCAGGAATGGGTTTGAATTAATGAGGCTTGATTTTTCTTTAAGATATTAGTGGAGCTCTATGATATTGGCCATAATGCCTATGTTGACTTGGCTAACCAATTAGTTCTACATCGCTGGTGCTTTCCCCAAGCTTTCCTTTAGAAATTTGCACAGATTTGTTTATTAATCTGTGATTTATAAATCTCTAAACAATGGCCAATAATTTCCAAATTATTTGCACAATCACAAAGGCAGGTTTTGTAAACATCCTTCTTTCTCTGTGTGGTGGGTGTATGTGTTTATAGCTGATCGGATTACCTCATATTCACATGTTCCAATGATAACCTTTCATCCCCTTGGTAATCAAGAGTCTATCTACATCCACCTTAAAATATTAAAGGGCTCTGCTTCCACCACTTTTTGAGAAAGAGAATTTGTGAGAAAAATGTCTCCTTATCTCTCTCTTTAAGTGGGCAAGCCTTTACTTTTAAACACTAATTCCTGGTTCTACAGTCTCCCACAACAGGAAGTATTTTTTCTACATGCACCCTCTCGATCTTACATGTTTCAAACAAGTCACCTCTTACTCTTGTAAACTCCAGCAAAAGCAAGACTAGTTTGTCCAAACTTTCCTCATAAGGCAACCTGACCAGTCCAGGTATTAGTCGAGTAAATCTTTGCTGAACTGCTTCTAACACATGTACATCTTTAAATAAGATAAGCATTATTATACAACAGTAGCCCAGATGTGGTGTCTCAAATGTCCTTTGTCCAAGTCATTTATATAACTTGTAAAAAGTTGATGTCCTGGCACTGATCCCTGTTGCACACCATTTGTTGCATCTTCCCAGCCAGAAAATGACCCATTTAAGCGTAGCTAGCAAGAAATAATCTATCAATGCCAATATGTTATTCGCTCAATCATCAGCTCTTATATTCCACAGTAACCTTAACGTGACACCCTATCAAATAGCTTCTGGAAATTTAAATATATGTCCATATGATTCCTCTCTATCCATAGCTCAAAAATCTCCGATATGTGGGTTAAATAAATTTTCTTTCACAAAACCTTGTTGACTCTGCCTGATTACCATAAAGTATCCTGTGTCTTGCTGTCATATGTTTTAGTACTAGCTTCTAATATCTGCCTTATTACAGATGTTAAATTAACTGGCCTGGAGGTTCCTGCTTTGTCTCCCTCCATCTTTGGTGAAAGAAGTTATATTTGCTGTTTTCCAGTCTGATAGAATCTTCACCGAATGCAGGAAAGTTTTAAGAATTAATACCAAAGTATCAAGTTTTTCATGAGACACTTCTTTTGAAGCCCTTAGATGAGTCCATCAGAACCCGGGGACTTGTCAGCCAACAGCTCAAACAGTTTGCTCAGGATCACTTCCTTGGTGATTTTCTTGAGTTCCTCCCAGCTTTCCATTTCTTGATTAACACCTATTTGTACCTCCATAATGACGACTGATATAAAATACCCATTTAATTAATCTCATTTTTCATTGGTAATTTCTCACCCCCACTTTGTATTGAATTAAAGCTCACTTAGTGAACTCTTTCCTTTTTAAGTATCTGTGGAAACTCTTAACTTTTCATATTTATAATTGATTTTCTCTCGTACTGTAATTTTTCTCTCCTTATTAATCTTTTAGCCACTGTGTTTTTTTAAATATTCTGTCCAATCTGTTCTCCTGTCACCCTTCTTTGCACAATTATATGTGTTTTCTTTAGGTTTGATACCATTCTTGTACTTTTATGATGGGTCCTCTACTTGGAACTTTTCTTACTTGTTGGAGTGTACCTACTCTGTGCATTCTGAAATCTCCCCTTAAATGTCTACCACTGCATCACTGTTGACCTATTCCTTATCCTAATTTGCCATTTCACTTTGGCTGGCTCTGCTAACATGGCCTCATAATTAACCTTATTTAAGTTTAAAATGCTTGTCCTGGATTCAATTTTCTCTCCCTCAAACTGTGCATAAAATTCAATGCAAGGTCAACAAATCTCTTTGAACAGGACCAGGTCTCGTATAGCCTGCTTCCTGACAGATTCCAGAAGGTGCTGTTCCTAGAAACTATTCCAAAAACATCTTATCAACTCCTTGTCTAAGTTACCTTTTACCATCTAATTTTTCCAGTCTATATGTAGATTAAAATTCTCTATGATTATCTCTGTGCTTCTCTGATACACTCTGTTTCTTCCTTTACACTTTACCCTACCATCTTACGGTTCTTAGGCCGGGTTGTAAGCCACTTCCCAAGAAGTGCCTTCTTGCCTTTATTATTTTTACTTTTATGAAACTGCCTATACATCCTGATTATGTCTTCTTAATACCATCATTGATTTTCAGTTTCAGAGCAACCTTCTGCAAGGAAGGATGGCAAAGAGAGGCAGTTGCTGTATTCAGGTAAGTATTTAAAGATGTCAAAGTGGGTAGACATGTGAGTGAGTGGATGAGCGATTAGGCTGGGCTGGTAATTGGATCTTTGGGGTTTGGGAGCGTTTTTGAGTGTGTGGGGTGTGGTGGAATTTCTAAATGACATTAAAGATTAAGCAGTGCAATAATTCTAGGTAGGTATTCGGGTGTGTAATACCTATCTAGTCCAAATCTGACCCGGAAATCATTATCAGAGATGTTTCTGGAGGGTCCTGGACAGTGCAAATCAGTCTGTTAGAAGTTTAAACTTCCCAGGGCAGTAATATTTGCCACTGCTGACATCAGAAAATCTCTTTCAGTACACCCAGTGCATGTTTTCTATCTTTCAGAATTTAACTTCTCAGGAATGAATATTGAGAGGAGAAAATAAACGAGAAAATAAACAAGAAACTCTCCAGGAATCCTCAGTAGAGATATTTTCAGATTCTTAGTTGATAGCTGGTTCTGCCTGTGTTCACTGACTGGTACCTACCCACACTTTGCTGGGTGAAGAGCACAATCTTGGATACATTGTAAGAAAATATATATATGTGAGATTGGAGGCTAAATATTCTCTTGATTTCCAGCAGACGATGAGACCTTGCCTGAAATTGTTGATCCTCCCCCTGATCTGAAGTGGGACGATCCATACTATGATATTGCAAGACGCCAAATAGTGGAGGTAGCAGGTAAGTAGTATTAAATAGTCTGTAATTACTACTGTTCAGAATAGAATTAGGTAATTGGATGAGATGGAAAATCGAACTGAAACCCTTCTGATGCAACTCCCTGTGCTTGTCAGGTTTTGTAGTATGTAAATGAAGGAATATTCTTTATTGTGAACAGCTTCTCCTTTTGTTTCTGCCCATGACAAAGGCATTCTTAAAATTAAAACAAATTGTTGGAAACGCTCAGCAACACTGGCAGCATCTGTGAAGAGAAATCAGAGTTAATATTTTGGGTCTGGTGACTCTTTCTCAGAATAGTCACTGGACCCAAAACGTTAACTCTGATTTCTCTCCACAGATGCTACCAGACCTGCTGAGTGTTTCCAGCAGTTTCTGTTTTTGTTTCTGATTTACAACATCCGCAGTTCCTTCAGATCCTTAAGAATACCTCCTGACTTTATTTTAACATAAAATTACATGATTATACAACGGAGAAACAGGCCATTCAGGCAAACCAGTTGTGCGGATATTTAGGTTCCACCCAAGTCTCCTCCTAGTTTTCCTCTTCTAAACCTGCTATCATAACCAGCTATTCCCGTCTCCCTTAAATGCTTTCTGTCTCCCCCTTGTATGTGTCTACACTAATCGCTTCAACTACTCCTTGTCGTCACAGTGCCCACATTCTTACCACTCTTTAGGTAAAGATATTTCTTCGAAATTCCCTATTTGATTTCATCCTTACTGTCTTATTTTGATGGTCTTTAGTTATGCTTCCCTCCCCACAAACATCCTCCCGGTTTGTTATGTCTGTATCTATTTTTCTTTTGCTTGTCTTCTCTCTGAGTTTGGACAATTTCTGTCCTGGTGTTTGTCCCTCAGTGTGCTTGGGGCGGGGGTTGCAGAAATTATGCTTAATATCCAAAGGAACCTACTGCTGTGCTCTATATTTATTTCTAAGTTGTCTTGTGAGGTGTTGGATGCTATTAGAATCCATCATGATGTTTGGATCTCTTAAACTAAACTGTGGTTGTTTCCATGTGTTTTACGTTCTTCTCTTGTAGAATAATGTGAATCATGAATGGATTTGGAACTGATTAAGTTTGTTGGCTGTGACATCAGTGTTACTTTCATTTAGTGTACTTTCCTCTGTGATGGGTGGATTTGATTAACTGTCATCCATGATGCAAGTAGAAAGTCCCAGCTACACCCGCTAGATGTGATTATCTTGCTGAACACGCACAATGCCTTTGCCGAGACTATTTGGAGTCCGGTACAAACTTTTTTAGATTTAAGTGGAATGTTACCACTAAGTGAAAACTCTCTCTACATAGTTGAAATCCAGACTGAGAGTTTCTATTTGTCTGACATCGTGCGTACATTGCCTTCCATAGGGACCACACCCTTTTCACCTTTTAATGAGGCTCAGTTTGATGTGATTTGGTGTGTTGCAGCTGATCAATGGTGCACAAGGATTATTTTATCTCACGTTGTAGCACCAGAGCCACTAGATACAAAGTCCTTTGTATTTCTGAAAGTTCTGGGAGCATTGTTTCTTGCATTGCAGAAGTGTTGTGGAATTGATCAGTAAGTTGTTGAATTGTATGTTTTTATTTGGCATCCCACGTTCGATTTGGACTGGAATTTCCTGTTCAGTTTGATGTATGAAGGGGAAGAAATTATTTTCAAATACTTAGAAAGGACTGCTCAAAAACAGGACCCATTGGTCTGTACCACTGTTTATGTTGTACAGGACCCTTAGCCCACCCTACTTAATGTAACCATCAGCTGTGTTGCTTTCTTTCTCATGCTTAGCTTGCTTTCCCCTTAAATTATGCTGTAGCTACTCCGTATGATATGGCCATCCAGGTATTTGCTGATACTTTGAGATTTTTCCCCCCTCCTTCAAAATGAAACAATTTTCCTCAGTTCCTATGCACCGTTTCCCACAAACATGCCTGGTTTTTGGATGTAGTGAGCTCTGTGTTAATTTCGCTAAAGGTGTTCGGGGTAGAGGAGCACAATCAGGAGGTGTTGCGGAACTAGCGAGGTGATGGAATGCGTGTGAGGAGGGATCACACCATCTGAGTGGATTCAGGACACTGGGACCTGAAAGTGAGAGTTGGTTGTGTCCAAATAATGTTTTTGATTTTGAGGCCTTTGTAGACCAGTCAAGGAAATAGGAAATTTCCTATGATGCCCGAGTGAGAGTTAAAAAGGAAAACTACTAATTTGCATCCATAACTTTTGCTTTACATATGTGTTTTATAAAGGTTTACTTTTCAGTGGAAGGCTCTGACTGGTTCACTGGAGAGAACGCTGGTTTGTGTGAAATGAACTGACCCAGCATGTCTATTCCTACAGGAGATGATAACTTTGGCAGGAAGGTGATAGTGGTCAGTGCCTGTCGGATGCCTCCCAGTCACCAGTTGGACCACACCCAACTGCTTAAGTGAGTTTGCCTTAAGATTTGTGTTATTCTTTTGTCTTGTAAAATGCCACGCCCTAAGAGCTTGGAATGAATGAATCTTTGAGTGCATCTTGGTTTAGAGGACATGGGACATTTTGATAACCAGGCATCTTCAGTTATCATGGAGGATCCAACAGGTGTAGAATTTTTTTTGTCCATCTTGTGCCTGGATATAATGTTGAATTCGTATACCAACTAATTATTTTGAGAGGGGATTAAGGGAATTAATGGAATAGCAAATAGAATTTTCAGGAGATGAGATCTATAAGAGACTATAATGAGGCTCATTGCTGGAAAACCTTCAAAACAGAGTTCCTTGTCTCGTTTGCCCCCACCCCCCCCAACCCAGCATAAGATCAATCAGCAAGTGGAATTAGAGGAACTGTCATTAGCCTCCTAGGCAGCAGACTTGCTGTTCCCTGCTGTCTGCTGAAGTATGCTTGAGTATGGACCAGGCAGCTTGGACTATGATGCTCTGGTGGCCAAACACCACACCCTCTTGGCTCCCCTTGTGGAACGTAGCTGCTAGAGAGCCCATGGTTCTTAATCCTCCACCCGAAGTCAACAGAGTAGACAATTTGTGGGGCAAGCGATTGATTAATCTTAAACAGGAACTTGTGGGTACATGTTGGAGTAGATATGATGGTGCTAATCCTCCTAGCAATTTACTGCTTTGGATAATCAGCGACTTTGCAATATTGAGCTGAATCTTAGTCAGCAATTGGTTTCCTCAAAGCTGGGCCTTCTTATTCCTTTCTGATTGTTGTATTATTTTGTGGTGAGGAGTTGGAATTCCTTCTGGAGTGATAAACATGCCAACAGGTGGTGGCTGATGTGGAAGAAGTTAAAAGCCCCAATATACTACTGTCCAGGTTGACTGAACATTCTCCGTTATCAAAGCTTAGTTTCTGCAAGCGTTTTCTGCAGCTGTTATTTGACTTGCTGTAAAGGCTAACTCAGTTATGCTGATGAACATTGCCTCATCATAAACACATTCATTTTCAGTCACCATTATTTGGGAAGTAGTGTAGTGCAAATTTCTCTTTGAACTGAATTTTGTTTCTGTTTAAACATTGATAATACTGAGCGTATAGCAGACTAATCATTTTGGGAGCACACTGTGTACAGTAAGTACTCCCAGGTCACATAAAGCACCTAAAAGTTCTCTACAAGGACCCCAACAATGTGCCTTAACTATCTTCAAAAGAGTTCTCCAATTGTGTAGAAGGGTCACCCTGCCACCCTGCACATGAGCCATCCTGTAGCCCCTTGTGCCATTTGGACGCAGTTAAGCTGCTATGGTACCCACGCCACTTGGAGCTAATTTGCCCAAAACCATTTAGGACCTCACATCTAGCCAATAAATGAGAATTCCCCTTCTTGGTCTGGATTGTGTTTCAATCATGACTGTGACCAATTTGTGTTTAAAGGCGGACATTGAACTGATACTTTGTACCGGATGCGAATTATGTCCTGGAGGTAAAAAGTTTAAAAAAAAAACTTAAATAATTGATAACAGCAGAGAAAAGGTATTGGGGAAACGAAAGGAGCTAAGGTCTGACAAATCCCTAGGACTTGATGGTCTACACCCTATAGTTCTGAAAAAGAACTGCAGAGACAGTTCTAATATACAAAGTACATTAGAATTATTTGGATGATACTAGTAGGGTAGATGAAGGGGAACCAGTATATGTAGTTCACTCGGATTTCCAAAATCCATTTGATAAGGTGCCTCAAAAAAATCTAATATGCAAGATAAGGGCTCATGGAGTTGAGGGTAATATACGTGGATACAGGATTGTATTCAGAATAATGGACAGGGAGCAAAGGGCTTGTATGAGCAGATTGTTATCATCTTGACAGACAATGACTTGAGTGTTGCAAGGATCAATGTTGAGGCTTCAGCTATTTTCAATCTCTATGAATGACTTGGCCAAAGAAGCCAAGTGTAATATGTCGAAGTGTGCTGATGATGCAAAGCAAAATGAAAACGTAAGCTGAGAGGAGAACTTGGAGAGGTTGCAAAGAGATATAAATTGGTTTTAGGTAGCGGGCAGCAAGGTTCCAGAGAGTATAACACAAGGAAGTGTGAAGTTATTCACTTTGGTAGTAAGAATAGAAAGCAAAATGTTCTTTACAAGGCATAAAACGTGTAAATGTTGATGTCCAGAGAGACTTTTGGTGTACTTGTATAGAGCTAACATGCAGGTACAGCAAGTAATTAGGAAGGCAAGTGTCATGTTGACATTTAGTGCAAGGGGATTGGAGCACAAGAATGAAGATGCCTTGCTACAATTATACAGAGACCACATGTAGAATACTGTGTGTGGTTTTGATTTCCAGGTCTAAGAAAGGATATACTTGGAGAAAGTGCAGTGAAGATTCAGTAGATGATTCCTGGTAAGAAGGGTTGTCCTATGATGAGAGACTAAATACATTGGACTTGCACTCCAGTGTTTAGAGAATGAGAGGTGATCTCATTGGAAAATGTACAAACCTGAAAGTATTTGACAGAAATAAATAGAGATTGCTGTAAATTTCCCAGTTAGGGGAAGCAAAGGGGCACAATCTCAAAATAAGGAGACTATCATTTAGAACTGATATGAGGAAAATTTTCTTCACTCAGAGGAGTGTGAGTCATTGAAATTCTCAATCCCAGAGGGCTGTTGAATATTTTTAAGGCTGCGATACAGTCGGCTCAGTGGTTAGCACTGCTGCCTCACAGTGCCAGGGACCTGGGTTCGATTCCAGCCTCGGGCAATTATCTGTGTGGGTTTCCACCGGGTGCTCCAGTTTCCTCCCACAGTCCAAAGATGTGCAAGTTAGGTGGATTGGCCGTAGGAAATGCAGGGTTACAGCGATAGAGTAGGTGGATGGGTCTGGGAGGGATGCTGTTTGGAGGATTGGTGTGGACTTGTTGGGTTGAATGGCCTGTTTCCATACTGTGGGGATTCTATAGGATTCTGTATAAACTGATTTGTCCTTTCAGGGGACGGACATGTGGAGTGAATGGAAGGTGGAATTGGCAGAAGATCATCTATAATTGTATCAAATGGTGGAATATCCACAATGTCTATTTCTGCTCCTTTCTTTTAGTCTTAATATGTTGAATTTAGTTTCTGTTTGAATATTCAATCAAATTATATAATTAATGTATGTCAATTCATCAGTGGAGTTTGGGCTTGCAGTACTGTGCATTCGGCAGTAGTGAGTCTGTTTCTGTCTCCTTGACATCAGATACCTGAAGCACACGCTGGACAAGTATGTAGAAAGTGACTACTCAGTTGTGTACTTTCACTATGGACTCAACAGTCAGAATAAACCTTCGTTTGCTTGGTTACTGGAAGCCTACAAGGAGTTTGACAGAAAGTAAGTATGACTGTTCCTTAGGCAGGCTTTTCAACATCTCAATTAAATAAGCTTGGTTCTCCCATTCTGTTCTGCTTTTTTTTTTCCTTTTTTGCTGTCCTGTACTTATACAACAGAGAAATGCATGTGTGTTTAGTCTCCAACAGTACTTAGATCTGTCTGGATATGTATCTGGTACGTGGATTCTTCCAGGTCATCTGCTGATTTATAAAATGAATGAGTTTTTCCTGCTGGTGGATCAGAGCAGTGGGTCAGCAGGGTTGAGGGAAATCGTACAAACCAAATCTGAGATTGTAAGTAAGATTGGAGAAAATTGCAGAAAATCATGATCAAATACCATATTCCTGATATTCCATGCGAGCTCCTGTTACTTTATACAACATGGTGAGTGAGCTGAAGCAGAATCAGTGTGCAAAGAAAGCTAAGTCAGTTCACTGATGTCTGCTTATTTATATCCTTCATATCAAAGTAGGCAGTTGATTAATCAATTATTCCAGTTAACCAAGGTAGTCAATTGTACTGAAGTATCTTTTAATGAATTACCCTGAGGCCTTTCCTGTTCTTCTGAGCAAGCCTGATTTTAGCATTCCAAGCTGAAGGGCAGTGGCATTAACATTGCAGCACTCCGTCATTGATGAATTTAAATGCTTAGAATATGTGCTAAATCCATGGGGTGGTACTTGAACCCACACCTTTTTGACACAATTAAGAGTGATGCTACTATCCCAATCCAAAACATTTTAGTAATTCTGCCTTTGCTATGTGTCAGAATTATTGTACTCTACAATAATAGATTCAGAGTCTAAGACAGATGGCACATCCAAAGTTTAGTTCCTTGATTGTGCAGCTATTCTCTGTAGAATGCTGTAATTGATCTTGGTCTTTGGGTTAGGTAAGAAGAAAACGTCTTAGGATTTCTGCTCCCAGCTGTTGACCAACTAATTATGGGTGGATTAGGCTGGGTTGAAATGTCTGTCTCTATTCTGACCCTCATTGTCAAAGTTCAGACAAGCTGAGTTGAAGTCTTAAGGCAAAATGCTGGAAATGCTCTGGGTATGTAGGAACTGTTTTATTACGAAATGTTCATTAGGTTGGGCCTGTATCCATTTGGAGTTTGGAATGATGAGAGGTGACCTTATTGAAACGTCACAAGATTCTGAGGGGGCTTGACAGGGTAGATACAGAAAGGTTGTTTCCCCTTGTGAGGGATTCAAGGCCCAGAGGGCAGAGTCTCAGAATAAGGTAAGACAGATGTGGAGGGATTTCTTCTCTGAGGGTGGTGGAATTCTTTATGTCAGAAGTCTGTGGAGGCTGGGTCAGTAAGCATATTCGAGGGTGAGATGGACAAATTTTTAATCAATAAGAGAATCAAGGGTTGTAGGGAAAAGGCAGGAAAGTGGAGCTGTGAATTATCAGATCAGCTATGATGTCGTTGAATGGTGAGGCCGATTTGATGGGCTGAATGGCCTACTTCTACTCCTTCATCTTATAGTATAACCACTTATGCAAAACTTGGTGACTAATTAAACCTTTATGCTTTTAAGTATGTTATTATTTACATTGACTGTTGCCTTAGAGGTGGTTCAGACAAGATTTGCCAGACTATTACCTTGACTGAAAGGGTTCTTTTATGAGGAAAGATTGGACAGGTTAGGCTTGTATCCAGAGGAGTTTAAAAGGGTAAGGGTGATTTGACTGAAACATATGAAATCCTGAACAATTTTGATCAGGTAGTTGTGGAATGGATGCTTCCTGCCAAAGGAGAATCTGGACGTAGAGGGTCACTGTTTAAAAATCTGTGGATGCCCATTTAAAACAGAAATGAGGTGAATTATTTTTTCTGAGGGTTGAGAGTCTTTGGAACCCTTCCTGAAAAGGTGATCGAAGTTGAGTCCTTGAATATCTTTAAGGCAAAGGTAAGTAGATTTTTGTTGAGCAAGAGGTGAAATGTGATCAGGGATAGGCAGGAATGTGGATTTGAGGTTACAATCAGATCAGACATGATATTATTACATGATGAAGCAGATTGGAATGGCCTGCTACTGCTCCTTTGTATTTTTGTATGTGATGGATATTAATTAAAACTTATCTTTCAGTTGTCATTCCCCAGTGATAGAGGAGCCAGTACCATTCTTATTGTTGACTTAGATTCTTGATCTGTCAAAGCTATGAACTTTCCCTGTTAAAATTAATATTGCAAAAAGAGTAGATGGTGAAATGTGTTCAGAAACCTGGATTGTTTCCATCCACACAGATACAAGAAGAACATAAAGGCTCTGTACATCGTCCACCCTACCAGGTTCATCAAAGCACTCTTGGTTGTCTTTAAACCAATAATCAGGTTGGTCCATGCCTAGCAATTAATTCATTCTGAATAAAAAAAAATACAAATTCATCACTTGCTTTATAAAATTTGCTGTTAATAATTTGCTTTCTTGCTTCAGTTTTCTGTTCAACTGGTCAGTATTGTCCTAGCTGATCTCAGCAGTGGAACACTCTGTGGTAGGCATGTTTCTAATGCTGATTGATATCTGCTGTTGAGTGTTGACGCATTAATATTAGGGTTGATGTTGACTGTGATGATTTCATGACCACATGCACACAAAGTTAGTCCAGATTGTCACAATAATATCTTAAATTCTATAGTGCCTTAAGCTAGCAAAACATTCCAAGGCACGTCAAAGGAGTCATATAAGGGGTGTGATGAAGATAGCTTTTAAGGACCCTCGTGGATGAAAGGAGAGCTAGGAAAACTAGGAGGTTTAGGGAGGAAATGAAAGAGGTTTGGACCATCATAGCCGAAGAAACAGCTACCAATAGGATGCACAAGAGGCCAGAATTGCTGGATTCCAGATATTTTGGAAGATTGTAGGGAGGGAGAAAGGAGGTTACAGGGAAAAGTTTTGGCTGAGCTTACATTTATGTAGGAGGTGAGAGGCCAGTTAGGAATGCACACATTTAATTGCAGCTTGCAAAAATGCACATGCAGTCTTTTTAGGCTCCGTCTAATGCACACACAGCTGCTCTTTTGCATGCTTGTTCACTGACATGTATGAAAATGCTCACTCCAGGCAGGCTGTTCCTCGCATGCAATCGATCTGAACTATGTCACACCCGCTCTCAGGCACAAATGCTGAATCCAGGCTCATATATATTCACAGGCCCACAGGAAGCTAGAAAATTTGGGGAAATGGATAATGACATTCTGAAAAATGTCCATATTACAGAGGAGGAGGTGCTGGAGGTCTTAAAACGCATAAAGGTGGATAAATCCCAGGGACCTGATCAGGTGTACCCTAGAACTCTCTGGGAAGCTAGGGAAATGATTGCTGGGCTCCTTGCTGAGATATTTGTATCATCAATAGCCACGGGTGAGGTGCTGGAAGGCTGGAGGTTGGCTAACGTGGTGCCACTATTTAAGAAAGGTGGTAAGGTAAATCCAAGGATCTATAAACTGGTGAGCCTGACATCAGTGGTAGGCAAGTTGTTGAAAGGGATCCAGAGGGACAGGATTTACATGTATTTAGGAAGGCAAGGACTGATTAGTGATAACCAACATGGCTTTGTGCGTGGGAAATCATGTCTAATAATTGAGTTTTTTGAAGAAATAACAAAGAGGATTGATGAAGACAGTGTTGTGGACGTGACCTGTATGGAATTAGGAAGGCATTTGACAAGGTTCCTCATGGTGGACTGGTTAGTAAGGTTAGATCACATGGAATATAGGGAGAACTAGCCATTTGGATACAGCACTGGCTCGAAGGTAGAAGACAGAGGGTGGTGGTGGAGGATTGCTTTTCAGGCTCGAGGCCTGTGACCAGCGGTGTGCCACAAGGATCGGTGCTGGATCCACTGCTTTTCATCATTTATATAAATGATTTGGATGTGAACATAGGAGATATGTTTAGTAAGTTTGCAGATGACACCAAAATTGGAGGTATAGTGGACATTGAAGAGGGTTACCTCTGAGTATAACCGCGTCTTGATCAGGTGGGCTAATGGGCCAAGGAATAGCAGGTGGAGTTTAATTTAGATAAATGTGAGGTGCCACATTTTGGAAAGGCAAATCAGGGCAGGACTTATGCACTTAATGGTAAAGTCCTGGGGAGTGTTGCTGAACAAAGACCTTGGAGTGCAGGTTCATTGTTCCTTGAAAGTGGAGTCACAGGTAGACAGTAATGGTGGCATTTGGTATGCTTGCCTTTATTGGTCAATGCACTGAGTATAAGAGTTGGGAGTTACTGTTGCGACTGTACAGGTCATTGGTTAGGCCATTTTTGGAATACTGTGTTTAGTTCTGGTTTTCCTGCTATAGGAAGGAGTTGTGGAACTTGAAAGGGTTCAGAAAAGACTTACAAGGATGTTGCCAGGGTTTGAGCTATAGGGAGAGGCTGAATAGGCTGCGGCTATTTTCTCTGGAGCGTTGATGGCTGAGGGGTGACCTTATAAAAGTTTATAAAATCTTGAGGTGCATGGATAGGGTAAAGAACAAGGACTTATCCCCAGGATGTGGGATTCCAGAACTAGAGGTCATAGGTTTAAGGTGAGAGAGAAAGATATAAGATAGACCTAAAGAGGCAACTTTTTCATGTAGAGGGTGGTGCATGTATGGAATGAGTTGCCAGAGGAACTGGTGGAAGATGGTACAATTACAACATTTAATAGGCATCTGGATGGGCATATGAATAGGAAGGGTTTATAGGGATACGTGCCAAATGCTGGCAAATGGGACTAGATTAATTTAGGATATCTGGTCAGCATGGATGAGTTGGACCAAAGGGTCTGTTTCCATGCTGTACAGCTCTATGACTCTAAGTAAATCGGAATTTGTTGGCTAAGGTGTCTGGGAAATGTTGGGAATTTATCCACTGAACCGCTAAGGCTTTCATTCCTATTCCTGATTTCTATCATTAAAAGGTTGGAAATCAGTTAGGACTTGCTGAGTGAAACAAGTAACGAATAGGTAAGTTTTGTATAGAGAGATTTGGCAAAAAATGCAGCAGCCTCATCTTCGATCTCTTTCCGTTCCTATTTTTCTCTGTTCCAGCATGAAGTTTGGACGGAAAATCTTGTATGTGAATCATTTAAGTGAACTTGAACAGTACCTGAAGTGTGAGCGAATGGTGATTCCACAGTGTGTGAAAAGGTACGTTCATCTAGACCACATCCCTGTGAGAGAGGTGTTCTGTTTGTCATCTTCCAGGTAACTAAGATTTGTCAGAGGACCCAGTTTGTCAGAGGAATTGTAATTGTTACTTTTCAGGAAAATTTAATCTTTGTGTACTTGTTATTTTGTACACAGGCAATTTTTGTGTGCAAATGTAACGTGTGGTGAGTGATAGGGAGGACTTAAGAGTAATTGTGGCACAGAAGGAGGCTATTTGGTTCACTAAATCCAAAGAGTAGATAAGTGCATGCTGCAATCTCTGTGCAAACAGTTGCAAAGGGCATTAAGAAGAGAAATGAAAGGTGCAAACATCTGACTCTGTCATGAGTTAAAGCAGCCATTTGGAAAATGAGGCTAGTGTCAGCCTGGGAACAGATCATTGACCAGATCAGGAATTAAGATTGAGCTCAGAAATATGAGAGGCAAAAAGTGACTAAAGATGTTTCCAATTTCCAGAATGAAAAGTAAAGGGATGAAGTTAAAATACAGACGCTTGTATATTCAGCAAAGTTTAGACGCTGCAACAAGAATGACAGCTTCAAATGAGAGATTAAATACAAGGCCGTGTGCGTATGATGGTAACTACATCTTTCAGTCTTTTAGTCCACAGCCATTTGCACAGAGATAGCAGCATTCTGAATGCCTTCCTACCTACACCAACCTTCCCATCCAATCACCCTGCTGAGACTGTAAAACTGACATCTTATTGTGGAGGGGTCTTTCTAATGTTCTTGAATCTTTGAAAGGACAGATCTATTCATGTATCCATTTCCTTTGTTGAAAATCTTTAAATCAATCAGCTTGGCTCAGTTGATCAAACTCTTGCCTCTTAATCTGAAAATTGAGGCCTTCAATCCCATTAGAGACTTGAACACATAGTTCAGGTATCACAAAAGTACTATATTGATAAAAAGTGCTGATCTTCAGAGAAGACATAAAATACAGAAGTGTAGAGTTCAGGGGCATCATTTGTAGAATACACTTCTTTTCGGAGTCCCTGCTGACTGATCCTTCAGCCAATGCCACCAGAAACATTATTTCCTGTTTGTGGGCTCTTCATTTACCAGTTGGTTGACTTGTTTGCATAATATATGACTGCACTTACATAGCCCTGAAGCATTTTGAAACTTCTTACAACTTAGAGTTGATACTGTGATTTTTGTTGCTTGATGACAAGGCTGTGTCAGATGATTGAATGTCTTATCATCTTGATTTTTTTTTAAAAGATATGATGAGCGTATTCAGGCAGCACAGAAACTCAAGCCACAAGAACCAAAAAAGCAGTTACCTCATCAACAGTTTGGGATCTCACTTCAAGAGTAAGTACTTTCATGCGTTTTGATATTGGCTTTGTTAATAAATGCTGCTGTTTCCTTACCTCTCCTGGTAGCAGTGATTCCTTCCCAAGTTATTGTTCAGTGGGCTGCAGCAAGCCCTGGTACCTCCCCCATTTTTCATGGAGTGCAGTTGGTGCAGATCGGCTGCAGGCCAGCAGATTCAGTTTTCTTCAATGCCCCATGAGCGTGCCCCATACTCCTGGGAGCATTGCTGTGTAGAGAATTAGGCCAGATTGATGCCTTCAGAATCATGAGTTGTTGACCAGTGTTTGGAGAGACCATAAATAGAGCTGTCTGTCTGTGCAGTGTGTGTTTAAAGGAAACATTTGGGTTTCTCTTTGGCGACAGCAGTGTATTTCAGCCTACATCTTTGTGAACTCCATAGTCGCTCTCTTTTTGTAGCTCTGTGTGACAGATGAGAAACAGTGGGATATACACCTCCATTATATAGGAGTTTAGTTTGCATATTTAATGTTATGTTTTGTTTGCTGCAGGCTCAGAGAAAAGGACCCTGAACATAAGGCCATGCCACTAGTCATGGAACAGACCTCCACTTACATCAAAAAACATGGTGAGTGATGTATTTAAACCATGACTACCAATCCATATATTCATCCTTTTTTTTTCATAGTCATAGAGCATGGAACAGACCCTTCAACCCAACTTCTCCATGCCGACCAAGTTTCACAAACTTGTCCCACTTGCCTGCATTTGGTCCGCATCCCTCTAAACCTTTCCTAATGTGATGTATGTGTCCAAGTGTCTTTTAAATATTGTAACTGTATCTGCATCTGCCACTTCCACTGGCAGTTCATTCTACATTCAAACCACCCTCTGCGTGGAAAAATTGTTCCTCAGGTCCCTTTTAAATCTGCCAAGATCTGATCTGAGTTTCTCTTGCATTTTGTTTTTAATGATATAAATTTATGGGATTTGGGAAAGTCTGGCTGAGCCAGCATTCACTGACCTTCCCTAGTTACCCTAGAGAAGATGGTGGTGAGCCCACCCCCCCTCCTGACCTGGTCCAGGCCACTGCAGTCCATATGCTGTAGGTAGATCCACAATGCTGTTAAAGAAAGAATTCCAATGTTTTGACCCTGTTCCACTGAAGAAACTGTGCTATATTTCCAAGTCAGGATGGTGAGTGGCTTACGGAGGAACTTGCAGGGTGTGGTCCTCCCATATATCCACTGCTGTTGTCCTTCTAGATGGCAGTGGTCATGGGATTGCGAGGTGCTGTCTGAGGAGGCTTGGTGACTTTCTGCAGTGCATCTTGTAGATACAGAGTATCCGTGGTAGAGGTATTTGATATTTGTGGATGTGGTGCCGATCAAGCAGGCTGCTTTGCCCTGAATAGTATCAAGCTTCTTGAGTGTTGTTGGGGCTGCACACATCCAGGCAAATGGCAAGTATTCCATCACACTCCTGACTTGTAGTTGGTGGAGTGGCTTTGAGGAGTCAGGAGGTGAGTCACTTGCTGCAACATTCCTAACCTCTGACCTATTGCTGATTATACAAAATTAGTTAAGAAAATAAACTATTACAAGGCTGAAAAGGAACAGAGATCACAAAACTGATGGGATAAGGTGGTGACCAATGAACAACAGTTTGGAGAAATTATCCACTTTAGTTAAAAGAATAAAAAATCAAAATCTATCTAAAAGACGGGAGACCAGTTTTCATTTTAAGATTCTCTCATCCCATCTGTGCTGGGTGCTCTGTTTTGCCTGGTCCAAGTTGCCATTTATTTACATATGAGCCAAGGTGGCAAAGATTATTTCACTGTAAATAGTAGGTTATTGCTGCCAAACGTAATCTGCTTTTCCCCGATTCTCAAAAACAAACATTTCCAGCATTTAAGATGGTCACTTCTGTGCAATCCGAGATCAAAGCTGTGCCTTCCTGATCTTGAATGGCTGACCAACTCTGTGGGTTCAACTTCATTTCCCAACTTAGTGCAGAGCAATTGATGGTAAAGGGAGGATATTGGAGCCATTTTCATGAATTTTAGAAGGCTTTTAGTTTCCCTTTGAGAAGATACAGGCAGCTATCTTAAACATTTTGCCCTTTCTTTTCTCACTGACCCTCTCGAATTTTGTATTCAGCCTGATTCTCATTTGGTACTATCACCGTGATAGATGGCACAGACCCGTTTCTGCTTCATCTTGCTCTCCATCTCTTTAATCATCCAGGGAGCTTTAACTTTGCTTGACTTACCTTTCCTTCTTAATGGACCTCGAATGTAACCAAGCCATCTCTCCTTTAAAAGGGAGCCAGTGTTAATTTATAGCTTTTGCCTTCCAATCCTTGATTTCAATTTACTTGGACCAGACCCCTCCACATCCTATTGAAACCAACCCCCCTGTAAGTCATCCTTTTCCGTGAATAACCTAAACATTAAATTGCTTTGTTAATAACCCTGGTCAATGAGAAAAGGGGTTAAAGTGTCTTCTGTCAGTTAAGTACGATAATGTGCCGTTTTCTCTCATCCTCAGGTCTGAACAAGGAAGGGATATTCCGTAGGTCGGCTAACGTGTTCCTAGTAAAGGAAGTACTGGAGAAGTACAATAATGGTGAGTGGGCTCTGTACAAATCACATTGCATACTTTAGGCATATTTTAAGTTGACAGGTCCGTGTGTTACATTTAGATCTATGCATTATAACTTCCTGATCATTTATCACAAGGAGCAAGGACAAACTGACATTGGCTTTCCAACTTATCAAACTCTCACCTCAGCAGAGATGGAGTAAACATCTTATAAAATAGACTTGTCCACGAGCCACAAAGCGTTACATCCAGCCTGCCAGATACGGAAAATAAAAGTAGAATATCTGCAAGGAATTGCTCCTCCACTCAGAGGCCGTTTCTGTCCCCCATTTGCCACTGATTGACTCACTATTGAGCCAGTAAGAGAGAGAAACACCTTTGATTGGAAGAGCAGTGAGCTGCACAAACGTGAGTAACTTTCTCCGACCTGTGGTGTGTACAGCACGAGTGGTGACTCTGCTGGAACACAGACCACAAGGAACCGTGGTTTTGTGAATGAGAAGAAGAACATACAAACATTAAAAATAGGAGCAGGAGCAAGCCATTTGGCTCTTCCAGCCTTCTCCGCCATTCAAAATGAAGGCCAGTCATTCTGTTAACACAATTATTCCTCTATATTTGTGTTATCTCCCCTGTTGTCGTGTGAACAGTAAGAACAAGAAATTGTGTTAAATCTCAGGTCAATCTATCAAAGATGACCATAAGGACTGTAAAGCTGTATTGTTCATGTAGTGATCTATGCAATGGCCATGGAGCAAGATTGGAGTGGTTTGACAGGTTTGCTGAGCTTTTGCTAGATTTCTGATGCAGCGCCAATTCATAAGCAAGATTTAAGTGTGGAATTTAGGAAGTAGAAGGTAGGTATTGTTACCTTTGTGTGTGCCATAATTAAAATATCTGGTTGCATTGCAAGAGCAAAGTGTGATGGAGGAATCAAGTAAAATGAAGACCATGAAGCCATCACACAAATACAGTTTAGTTACATGAAATTTAGTTATTCTAAGTTTTCACCTGGGCATCAACATAAAATGAAGCTGCAAATAGAAGTGAAAGGTCAGTGGATGATGCACATATGCTGGGTGCAATCAAAACACACGTTACATGGTGTTCCTGCTGCAAATAAGTTTTAAATGTCCTAGTCCACATCACTTTATCTGAATCAATATGACATGTAAACTGAAAGGTGCTGGTTCAGTTCTTGTTTGGCAGTAATATTGTAATGGAATGCACAGTGTGAACTGTAATTTGGATACATGAAATGTGAGCTGTGATATCATAGTCTACACATGGACTATGTGAACTGGCACCAGATTGTGTATTGTAATACCAAGTACCCGCTCATTTATCATTCGGCATTTACCCAGAGGTATGGTTGTTTGAAATACTTCTTTGATGTTGTGACTTCTCTGCAGGAGTTCCTGTAGATTTTGAAACCTACAATGATGTTCATCTGGCAGCAGTCATATTGAAGACTTTTCTTCGTGAATTGCCTGAGCCTCTGCTGACTTACAACCTATATAACAAAGTGGTCTCATTGGGAAGTAAGTTCTATACTTGAGCCAATATTTGGCATTGTTGCCAATGTCTTGTTCCTATGTTACATATTCCTGAATATTTATTGCATTGTCCTGCTCTAGTAAGTTTCCGTTTAAAAGAATGCTATTTGGAAAGAATGACATTGGACAGTTCAGTGAAAATTGACTCAGGAAATTGTTTCTCAGTTAAAACTGCGACACTTACTCCATTCACTGATTAAGTATTGTACCTCGTAAATAAAACAGATGTTACTGAGCAGCAGAATGGCATTAACCACACCATGTTTCCAGGAAGCAATAATTTTATTCTGAATTATCAAACAATCAAAGACTACTATTTCATGTAGGGTACATAGATCAAATTACTCCATTTTTTTTCAAAATAGTTTGGATTCATTTTGTCTTGAATGTACTCGCTAGATTACCTTTTGTTTGGTGTCTGGGACGGATGCAGTTTGGCTGAATTTGCATACTTCACTGACTGTAACTCATTTATGTTGAAACAAAATGCAGCAGCAAGTTTGCACAAAACAGAATTCCACAAATGTGACCATGGCTAGATAATTTGTTTCAGTGTGTTGCTTACATAGTGATATTAAGTCTGCAGATGGGATGAAGATGCTTGCTGCTGACACTCAGTACCAGAAATGAAAGATGTGCTATTTGCCAATAGTAATGTTTCACCTTTAATTAACACAATGTTAACCAAAAATGTATTGATTTTTAAAACAGTTACAATAGGTTTCAAAAACATCCTTCCCTCTCCATTCAAGCTAAAGCTACAACATTTTGCCAATGCTTTCAAGGTTGCGAGTGTTTTAAACCTTTGTGTTTTTAAAAAAAAAAGTGGCTTCTATTACTGAACCCATCACAGAGAGAATCTTTACTTCCCTCAAACTGCAGTGATAGTGGAGCTAGTTTTGGGAATGTGTACTGTATGTCTATTATAGTGAAATAGAACAATACAACATATTGGAGCATGGGAAGGATGGAGTCCAGAATGAGATGCTGGCACAAGTACAGGCGTAGGTTTCCTTGGTGTGGAGTGATTGGATATGCCTCATCTCTTCCTGATGAATCTCTCAATCTCAGCTCCATAATTGGAAGAAAGGGACATTGCGAGGAGGTTGGAAACCAAATTCTCTCAAGGATGAAGTTTACAAATGTAAGGGAGCTGATTGTCTGTATTGCTGAAACTTAGAATGCATTGTGTGAAGATCTAAGGAGGTAGAAATTTGCAAAATGCATAATATTTTAAAATCCTTTTTCCTTGATGTTTTGGAATTGTCATCAAAAAACATCTCTAAATTCTGTGTGCTGCTGAGTGATTTTCCATGCTGCTAGAATGTCCACAGAACCTAGCAGATAACCAAGTTCTTAACCGTCACTAAAGTGAGCAGACACTTGGAAAGATGCTCTGATTTTGGTTCTTTGCTGAATTCATACACTGTAATAGAAAGCATTAAACACATGTCAGCTCTGAATAACACAAGCACTTTGGTGAATTAACATTATACTTTGCGTGATCTTTATTTAATCCAGTTTTGTCTTTCCTCTTGTACATCTGTGCTTTAGTTGCACAATGTTCATATTTTGTGTCTAATATTTTTTTTCCCTCACTGAATAGAAGTGCAGGAAAATAAACAGATAGAAACGATTGCTGAGATGATTAAATTTCTCCCCGAGGATAACTATACTGTGCTACGTTACTTGGTAGAGTTCCTGGGAGAGGTAAGTTTGGTTGTTTTGCCTTTGAATTTTAAAATAACTTGCCCCATGTAGCTTAAATCCCCAGAAAAATGATCATTTACATATTTTTAATTGAAGAATTAGAAGGGAGATGAGAAAAACCTTTTCCACGCAGAGGGTGGTGTCTGGAATTCATTGTCCAGTTTAGTGACCGAGTCAGAAATCCTCAACTCATTTAAAAAGAAATCTGGATCTGGACCCTAAGTGCTGTAACCTGCAGGGCTACAGACCCAGTCCTCAAAAGTGTGATTAGAATGGACGGCTAATTTTTTTTAAAACCGTGCTGACATGTTGAACCAAATGGCCTCTTTCTGTGCTATAACCATTGTGGTTCTACGGTAGTGCAGTGGATTTGTATTCAATCCAAAATGAGGGATGAAAGTTTCCAGGTTTTCATGCACTTAAATTCCTCCAGACTGCTAGGGTAGAGGTTGTGGTGAGTTTGGCATTACGGTTGATTACGGTGGAACATCTGCAGAGAACTTTCCTCTGCAATTGACCTAACTGCGAAACTTGGTAAGTGTGATTCATTTCCCTGACAAGGCACTGACATACTTCCTGTTGTGCAAAGATTCCTTTACGTGGACCTAAATCTCATTTACAGGTGAGTTGAGAGGTCTCCGCATGCGCAACTATTAGTCAGCGTTGTAACTGTACTATACTTGAATGTTGTCACCTCATACAAAGCATTTTCATAAGTTCTATGAGATGTCAATCTCCTCACTTCCTGTTCCCCCCCCCCATCCTCCAAACATTATTCCTAATGAATTCCCAACTGTCCATTCCTCAGAATATTGCTAACATAATTCCCACATCGCCACAATGGAGAGCTATCACTGAAGTAGTCAGGTGCTGTAGCAATACTCGTCATTCTTTGAAATCTTTAGTGATTTTGTTTGGGTCCATTACGTGAGCAACTTCTCCCGTATGAAAGCGATCCAATTCTGTAGATGATGTGAGCATGAAGCACTCTCACTGGGTATGGTGCAGGTTAGCTGCAGAATATAAGTGCCAATCAGTGCCCAGATCAGACACGTGAGCACAAAAACATAAGGTCACACTTTGGTGCAGTCTTGAAGGAATACTGCACTGCCAGAAATGCCATCTCTTAGATGAGGCATTAAACTGAGGCCCCATTTGCACTTTAGGATGGCTGATGAGCAAATAGGATCCCATTGGCACTCTGGTACTCTGACTCAGAGACATCAGATGAACTATGTGCTTTTATCAGATGTAAGTGTTTTGATTACAGAAAACAGGGTCCCCTAGCTAACTTTAACATCTACGTTGTTGATTATGGTGAAACAGCACAGCCTGACAGAATATGAATATTTGATACAGAAGGTGCTATATTTGTGATTCGTTGCTACATTGTGTTTGTGAGTCGGTAGAAATGATTTTTCACGGGGCAAAAAGATATCTTTTACTTGGCAATTGCAAGCCAACATCAGCAATGGTAAAGCAGCTACTTTTCCAGTAGTGGAAACAGGAAAGAATCTGAAGGAAAGGGTTTAATTACACATTTATTCTTTAATAAGGATTTAAAGTTTAACTTGACTATGTTATGTTTCCTGTCTGTTCCCCAGATTGCTGACTACAGTGACCTGAATAAAATGACTGCATCCAACTTGGCTCTGGTGTTTGGACCTGCTCTCTTATGGGCAAAGGATGCTGCAATTTCACTCAATGCCATCAACCCCATTAATAACTTCACTCAGTTACTCTTCGAAAATTATACTGAAATCTTTCCAGCCAAATAAGATAAAGCTTTACCATTTTAAACCACAGCTGGAGTCGAGTCAGATTGCCCTTCAGTTTTTAAATGTTCATGGCAATGCACGTTGTGTGGCAACACACAGAAGAAAGGCTATCAAATTAGTTGGTGCACCCTTTGAGTTAGGGGTATGATTAGCACCTCATAACACTGCTTGGTCTGTGTAGTGGCTCTGTATGGTTACACAAGTATCCAGGATGGGGCTTTAATCATTTTGAGTCTGGGGCTGGAATCCATGACTCTTAATTTGTAGACTTGATAATTATTATAATGGGAATGATATTGGAGAACATTTTTGGTTTAAATTCTGAAATTTCCTGCTCTATCCTTGTGCTGTTAGTGCACAGAGATCAATCATTCAATCAATTTAAATGTACAATTTTGGCAAATAATGCAAGATTTACAAAAATTACTGGGATGTTTCTACAATGAATACATTTTTGATTTCATTTTCAAACAAGTGATTTTTTGCAAAGGTGTTCTGTTTTGTGGTGTTGTGTACAACTTTTCAAAATTAAAATTTTTGTACCTTTTTTCATGGATTCTCTGCCGATCCAAATGAGCTGAAGGGGAGTGAGCGGGGCATATATTTCATTCATGTAACTAGTAATTACAAGTTGTGAATTCCTTCTGAAGAAATAGAATGTCAAGATAGTGTTTGGGTAATCAGATTTGAAAGTTTTACTGTTTAAGTTTCATTTTTAAAAAATGTAAAGAATTCATTGTTTAAAGAGGGAGCTTTTTTGCTGTTGTGTCAGTGACATTGTCATGCAATGGATGTTGAACTGATAACCACGTCAATGCTGTGGTTATCTTGGGATGCTTCAGGTCGTCATTCTCTTTGAAGTCAGCAAATTTTGTTGTCAGATCTGTGGGGATTCTGCATTATAAGAGTAGCCTAAGGAAGCACAGAATGCCCAACTGCCATTCTATTGTTAACTTCTCTCCTGACACTCTATGATCAAATATAGAGCGGTACATAATTCATTTTGTTCAAATGGATGCAATCTGGTGATAACCTGAGTTCTCAGCATTCAATGTTTAAAACTAGAAAACTGAAGGTAGTAAACAAATTATCAGCAGTAAGCATGCATCTTTATATATTTTTCACTTAGTGGATTTTGAAGTGTATCATTTAGTAAAGTATGTTTTTCCCTCCCCTTCTTTTCTTAAGTTCAAAGTCTGTTAGCCAACATTTGATCAGAATTTGGCATCTTCTATCTACCATGAAGACTGTGTAGTTTTTTTAAAATGTTTTGGGAAGCAAGGTGTACTGTTTAGATTTCAGGTTATGAGGCAAGATAAACTTTAGAAACATTTTAATGCTGGTACATAAGGAAAGGATTGAAATAGGCAAGTTTTAAACAACTTTGTTCCTTTTGTGTTATAGAGGGAAACCTGAACCGAACCTTTTGATTAATTTATTGTAAACTCCCTAGTATGAGGTTTGTGTCACTTATTAAATGCAGTCCTTCTGTCTGAGGTGGGGTTTGATGGATGTTGCTGAAATGTTTGTTTTATATGTCTTGGTTAACCAGTGCCATAAATAAGGAATCCATTGATCTCAGCAAAGGTACCCACATCCACTGAATTTGAGTGGACCTTTTTTGCATTGGGTATTAAACTGAGGTAGGCATCCCAGCTAAGATCGCTCAATCCTCATTGATATCCATGTGCTTTTTCTAGCAGTAAAATTGGATAGGGAGCAGGACTAAGAAGCCTGGCTGTTCTTGCTTTCTCCTAGGAGTACTGAAGTTAAACATAACATCACAGAAACAGGCCGTTGCCCCACCATGTCAATGAATGCTAAACTACACTTAATCCCATTTATCTATAGCCTCCTACACCTGGCCTTTTAAGTACTCATCCAACAGTGTCTCAAACATTGAGAGTATCTGGCTCTATCACCCTCTGGTGAAGTTTATTTTAGCTATAGTGAACCATGGACGTTGAGCATTAGGCATAGATAAATTTCATGTTTAAATCATTGCAGTGCATTGATGTTCTTGGATTAAGTTCCAATTAGTCTTAATCTTTCAACATTTCAGAATTGACAGGAGTGGAATATTCTGCTTTCTAAAATGTGTGATGTTTCCAGGGTCACTTTGACAGGAATCTACTGATTCTGTTGATTGTTATTCCACAGCAAAGCAACACTACTATCACTGAGTACCTGGGGCTGGGCCCTCAGATTTGTGTAATTTTGTCATCCTTATATTTCAAAACAGAGGCAAAAGGGGCCACACGTTCCTGTTCACTTCAGAAAGTCATTAACAATCACACATATGGCTCACACCATGCAGTTAATGAAGTCTGCTCCCTTTGTCCTGGAGTGGAGTGATCAGTATCCTCCCACGTTGAACTTAGCTGTGCAGGTTTTTTGTGAAGAAGCATCATGTCTGATGGTCTGTATCACCCCCTGGGCAAAGTTCATTAACAAGAAATCCAACCTTTAAATCAAAATGTACAAGCATCTGTGTATGAAAATGATTGGGTGCCAATATTGTGAAATCCACCATAATATTAAAGGGAAAAACTGTGGTGATAAGATATTCTGCCGGAGGTGCCTTTTATACAATGAACATACCAAACTCCTACTTAAAGGGATACTCTGACTGGGAGGGAGCAAGTTACAAAACAGTAACCCAAATTTCACATGATGCACAAAACTCTCAAAAGATCACAAATATATGGTTTTTAACAGCAGGTTTATGAAGTCTGTACATAATAATACATTTATTTAAAAACCCCAAAGTGTTAAGCAACAGACTATTGAATATATTATAGAGTCATACAGCACAGAAACAGACCCTTCAGTCCAATTTGTCCATGCCAACCAAGTTGCCAAACTCCCACTTGCCTGTGTTTGGCCCATATCCCTGCAAACCTTTCCTATTCACGTACTTATCCAAAATGTCTTTTAAATCTTGTAACTGTACTTGCATCCACCACTTCCTCCAGCAGTTCATTCCACAGACGAACTGCTCTGTTAAAAAAAAAATGTTCTTTTTAAAACTTTATCCAATCAGCTTATAAATATGCTCCTCGTGATTTTATAGACCTCTGTAATGTCACCACCCCAACCTCCTATGAAAGAAGCGTCAGCCTATTTTTAAAACAAACCCTCCATTCCTAGCAACAGCCTTGGTAAAATCTTTTCTGAACCCTCTCCAATGTAGTATCATATTTCCCATAGCAGAGTGACCAGAACTGCTCACCAACAAAAGATCTGAGCAATGAAGGCAAGTGTGCTAAACACTTTAACTATCCTGCCTACCTGTGATGCAAATTTCAAAGAATTATAAACCTGAACCCCCAGGTCTCTCTAGAATTTTGCTTTTTTCACTGCAAGATGGTTGCCTTATTTTCAGATTTATATGGAATGAGTAAACAAATTGCATACATCTTGTACCACTCCTTCTTTGATTTTTGAGCCTTTAAAAATCTATACCATGTTTGAGACATGAAGCAACAAGAAAGAATTAGTTAATGTAATACATAAACTAATAAACCAATGAATTTCAACTATTTTAGGATTCCTTTAAACATCACCTGCTAAAGCTTTGTTCTTTCAGCTATTTCTAAAATCCTGTTGTTTTTTTTTTTTAAATTTTTCACCTCAGTTTCTGTGGTGTAGAGACAAATTTTACTGATTGAAACATTTTTTTAAACTTGCGACACTAGACTAGAATTTTTTTAATCTGATTTTTAATGTGCCAACTATTAAACCACACTATTTCTCTGTACTGTCAAATGAGTTTCATTCTACCTCAGTATTATCCATCTTCTATTTGGGTGATTTTTTTCTATTCTAAAATTAATGTTTTTCCTGTTGAAAGAAAGCCTTTTTACCATAGGGTTCGATAAGCATTTCATTTTATTACCAACTAAACCAAGAATAAAAGTTAGAAAATGCAAGGACTGTAACCTTATCTTCAGGTTCATTTTTTCACTTGTGAGCTCTAAGATTTTGATATGTGGATCATATGTGTAAGCAATTGCTAAGAGAAACATTCCTTATCCTTCTGGACACATTCATAGACGTATCTACTTTAAAATTTGAAAGTGTGAGAAATGTATAGAATCACATGTAATATGTTTAATTGTATCGGAAGCTTTTTGGGACAAAGGGTGATGTATAAATTCTTCTGGGCTTTTTTCCTTCTTTCTGGATAAACCCCTGGTTTACTCTGAAAATCTTTATTCCAATGCCAACAGAGTTGCTTAACCTATTCATCATTTTCCTTCAACCCTGCTCTGATGTCCAGAATTGGCTGGTATACTATAGTTCTGAAACGAAGTCTATAAAAATGCGTATGTCAAGTAATCTGTGACTGCCTTCCAGTGTTGCTGACCAGCACTGTTTTCTCTAGGCTGCTTCCCCAGACAATCAATGTTAGAATAATTTTAGAAACCTGGCTGTTTTCCATTCTGGTTTTGTGATTTTATAACATAACTTTCCCATATATAGGGATAAACATAGCAGCAGCTTGTAAAAAATGAGAATTTCTAAGAGTGCATGTCTTTTTATGGTCAGTCAATAAGATGAAAGCAGTCTTAATTTTCTGATACAGGCCTGTAGTAATAGTGTTGTGGAAGGGAAAGGATGAAGAGAGAACTTTTTAAGTGCTTTTCCAAACAGTACCTATTCATCACCTGACCAGGTTAATTTTTGTTTTTGATCATTAGAGTTAAGAAATAACATTTCAAATCAGACTATTTATTACAGATGAATGGCTGATCACACAAGCAGCTGCAAGTAGAATAGAGAAGTGCTTTGGACCCTTTACAGGGTACATTGTGTTTAATTGTGCCTTTACAATAGCAGACTGGAAGATAAAATTCAAAATTAGGGTGTTAGGGTGTTAGGACAAGGGTTCAGAAAGTAAACAAACTTACAGTTGTACATGCCACAAAATACAATCCTATTATTTCATGTTGAGCTACACTTTGTTCACCCACATAAAGGGTTTACTGTATGTTTTCTTAATGTTGAAATTTATTGCCAGTCACTTGTTCACTACTTTATGCTTTAATATATGCATTAAGCAGATGATATTTATACATCTTGATCTGTGACATTGTGGAAGGTGACACTCCATCTCAATTTCTGGAGACCAGTCACATGTGTTATAATTTGGTTTGTTTTATAATGTAGTGATGATCAAAGTGACTTTAAAATAAAATACATACACGAATTGTGTCATACGTTGAATCTAGTGTTTGTTTCTAAGTTTAAAAAGAATAAAGTTAATTTACCCACACTGTATATGGTAAAAACAGCCATTTATGGCCATGTGTTTAGTGAACCAGGACCATGCTCATAACTGTGTGGATCTGGATTAAAAAAAAAGTAGATAAAATGTTTAATTGTGTTTCACATTAGGATTGACTTACCCAAACACAGAAGTGTGAATAATCTTTATATAAACTGTCTTTTGTTCAAGATTCAGCTATGAGATAGGCAAAGATACTGTAGAACACTTTTTGCCAGTCAATTTTAAAATTCTCAATGGTCCTGTTAGTAGAGAAAGATTAAAAAAACAAACTTAGGCATTAAACTGAGGATTAAATTATTTGGTTCAAGTAAACCGTGGAACACGACTTCTGGAGAAGGCATGCTTCACAATGTAAACAATCACATTTCTCAAATTGTTTCTAGCCTCTCATTGGATCAGATCAGACATAGGCAGGGAAGTCTCCTGCTGATTACCATCTACCATGTTCCTTCAACTGACAACTCAATAACACAACTTCTTAAAAAAAAAGTGTCATTCACAGGATGTGCATATCACAATGCCAGTACTTATTGCTCATCTCTAACTTCCCGAGGGAAGATGGTGAGCTGTTACAACCACTGCAGTCTTTCGGGTTGCAGGGACATTCTTCGTGCTGTTATGAAGGACGAATCAGGATACAGACCTAGTGACAATACCATAGCAGCAATGTAATTCCAAATGAGGTCATGACTTACAGAAAAACTTGCAGGAAATAATGTTCGCATGAATTTATGATCTTTGCCTTACAACTACTAGAGAAGGTGGTGAGAAGAAGCTTGGATAAGTTCATGCACTGCATACTGTATCTAGTACAGACTGTTTTGACTGTATGTCAATGATAGAAGGAATGAATGCCACTTTGGCCTGGAAATGTCAAATTCCTAGAGTTTGTTGGAGCTTCACTCATCCAAGCAAGTAGGAAGTATTCCATCACACTCCTGACTTGTGCCTTGTAAATGGTGAATTGGCTTTGGGGAGTCAGGTGATGAGATTTACTCCCTGCAGAATTCCAAACCTTTGCCTTGCTTTTGTAGCCACAGTATTTGAGTGGCTAGTTCAGTTTCTGGTCAATAGTTATACCTTTGATATTGATAATAAGAGTGATGGGCATGTCATTGACTAACACTTGGATAAAGCACCGAAAATAGCAAGAGCACAATGTACCACAGATGAGGAACTTTCCTGTACATCACTGTTGGCTGTGTCCTGAAGAATATATCTGCCAGACTGGACCTGCACCATGCTAAATGGGATAGAATTAGAACAGATCTAGAAGTTGAATAGTAGACATCCTTGAGTTCGCTGTGGCAGAATTCTACTCCACCACAACCTGTAACCTCTTGGTCCATTATATTCCTCATTCTATGACTAACATTGTACCAGGATTGTTTGCTTGTCTTTATGAATGTGGGAGACCATAATAGAAGCATCAAACACATCAAAAAAAATGAGATATCAACGTTGTGGAAATACAACACCAGATTATATGCTGAACAGTTGGGCCAGTTCAGCAATTTCACAACCAAAAGATCAGATCAAGTTCCTCGCACTGCTATAGTTAGTTGTTAAATTGTTCACAGTCGTTCACAACTAATGCAAAGAGGCGGCTAAATAATGGTCCAGCCTAGCATGAGTGTGCAAAAGACAAGACATTGCAACTATCAGCTGGAAGTGTCAGTGGATAATTATCTTGATCTCCTGCTGAGGTCAACTGCTATTATGTATGCCAATCTTTAGCCAATCCACTTGATTACTGGACAATTCAACATACTGATAAGAGGACTCAGGAATCAAGTGTCTGGTCAATTATTTTCATAAGTATGGAAGGAGAGCCAGTCTTATTATTGTGGAGTGCAAAACCAACTTACAGATACCTCCAGCTTTATACAAAATGTTACCACATACATAAATCAATCCAAAATTGATATTTTTCAATCGAGTTACACTCTGATAGTAAATGTGTTTCGAACATTTGGAGTAATCAGTTTCAATTTTCTCTTCAAATTGAGGCATCTATGAGTTTTTGAGAACTTTGACTGTCCAATAAAACATTCATAACAATATCGTTAAAACAGAAATCAAACATTTCTATTTGATCCAAGGCACTAATATATTTGCTTATTCATAACAAACTGGCTGTTTCCATAGAAACTGCTTGTGTGCATGTCATCAGTACAACTAGACTCCTCCCTAGTTGCCCACCAGGAATAGAGACCAAAAGGATGTGGCTTAGAATTCCTACAGTGTGGAAACAGGCCCTTTGGCCCAACAAGTCGATACCAACCCTCAGAGCATCCCACTCATACATCTATGCTACACATCCCTGATCCCTATGGGCAATTTAGCATGGCCAATCCACCTTGCCTGCACATCTTTGGACCGTGGGAGGAAACTGGAGCACCTGGAGGAGAACGTGCAAACTCCACACAGACAGACAGTCATCCGAGGGTAGAATCGAACCCAGGCCCCTGGCGCTATGAGGCAGCAGTGCTAACCACTGAGCCACCGTGCTGTGTCTTACTTAAACATTAGCTCCTCATCAGCATGGCTTTAACTGGCCTGGTTTAAAACTATGCTTTAAAATACTTGTTCCAATAGCAACCCAAGAGGACTCACTTGTCTGCATGACTTTTTGGCTCTCTCCTCCCACTCTGCCAATCTGATTTGCCTCCTCTCCTCACACCTTCTGTCTGGAGTTCTCCTTCAGATTTTGACTCCATCTTCAAATTCTTTGGATCTTGTTCACATTGGTCCAGTATGACTCTTTGCCCTAACTACATGTGGTAAATTAAAATACACAACCAAATACATCACAAATTGGTAAGGAGGATCAGGTCTACAATCGTTAATTTTCATGGGCATGGAAGGAAAGTCAGTCTTATGACTGTGGAGTGTAAAACGCTCTCTACTTGGATTATAGATACCTCTAGCTTTATACAAAATATTACACTGCACAGACTTCTTTGTCTGGAGACAAAACAGAATGATGACAAGGGAGGGGAGGGGAATGCATGTCTGGTGGTGACATCCCACTAGAGGTGGCAGAAATGGTGGCTAATTATCCTTTGGACGTGGATGCTGATGGGATGGTAGGTGAGGAGCAAGGGGATACAATGAGTGTTGTGGGAGGGAAGAGAAGAGTTGAAGGCACAAGTGCAGCAAATGGGGCAAATACTATAAAAGGGCCATGTCAATTGCAGTAACAGGGCATCCTTGGTTGAGGAAAATGGTGGACATTTTGAGAAATCCCCTTCAGATAGTGACATTAACTGAACAGCTGAAATGAAAACCGAGAAACCAGGAGAATGTAACGTTTTCCCACAATTTATATATCCATTGCCTGCGATTCAAATAAGGCCATTGATACCTTACTGAGAGTGAAGGAGCTGCATTTAAAGCCAGCCTTTGTGCATCTGTGGTCCCCATTTGCTTTTACAATACTACTGAAAATTTAACGTAAAACTAATGGAAACTGATTCAACCTCTCCAACTTGTATCAATAGCTGTTGTTGTATTCCAACCTAGTCATAACCATGTTTCAGTGCAAGGTGTTAGTAATTTCAACGTTCAGTTTTATTTCTAGCTCCTCTGACAATAAAACAATTCTTGACAACGTGCAGCTCGACCTGGATAAACACTGAATGCTAGACAATGACCACATCCAACAAGACAGAATCTAAACTTTTCAAATGATGTTCGATGGCACTAAAGTCACTCATTTTCCCCAACATCGACACCCTGGATGTTACCACTGGTTAGACACTTAACCAAACCAATCACAGAAATGCTGTGGTTATAGGAGGTCAAAGGCTGGGAATTCTGTGACATGTAATGCATCTCCTGACTCCCAAAGCTTGTCAGCACAAGATAACAAGGCACAAGTCAAGAGTCTGTCCTCATTGTCCCTTGGTCAAAATTCTGGAACTCCCTAAAAGCAGTATGGGTACACCCATACCACGAGCTTCAGTCGCTCAAGGTGACAGCTCATGCCCAGTTTCTTGAGGGCAATAATGCTGGCCTAACCAGCAGCACCTATATTCATAAACAAAACATAATGAAAATACTTTCTGAAAGAGGATAGCTCTCTATGCCAAATTATAACATATTAGAGAAAATTTAGCAGGGAATGGTGCTGAAACTTAAGAGTTCTGAAATGTGAGCAATGACTTGCAGAATCAAATTTATTATCATTAGAGAAAACAGTGAGGTAGTGATAGGAAACAGTCACGACTGAGAGGTACAGCTTTTAGTTAGTTAAACTTGTTCTGTAGTTAAATCTGAGAAAGGAAGATTTGTTTCTGCTCCACCTTCACCGCTACCCTCCCACCCTGGCTCCATTTGTGGATATCACCAAAAGCACTTCAATTAAATTATTTTTTGAAAAAGGCTTATTATTGTTGTAATAGGATAAAATATATAGGGATAAAAGGTGCAAGATTGCCAAAGGGCATCACTTAGAATGCATTAGCTGGTGTCTATAATAGAGTGAATGCGTTGTAAAGGGTCATTGAAATATTAATTGATGGACTTTACTGGTTGATACTTTGTGGGGACATTCTCTGCCATTGTAAGATGGGTCTTGAAAATTTGCAATGTTGGTCTATCTTCTCTAAGAATAGCTTTATTGATATGCCTGTCTACATTGTTTAAAAAGTTACCATTGAACCAGTTAAGATTTATATGCTGCAGTGACACTTCAAAATAAGATTCAAAATACTTAGTGGGAGTTGCATGTGAAGTAAGAACGAGCAAAATAATATGTTAATACAGAGAAGTGAGCAACAGGCTTTGTTTAAAAGTTAGGTACTTACATAATAACGTACAGCAGCTCTCCTTAGTTGTAGGCGTTCATCCTCTGAATAAAATGAACACTAGTATCTTGAACAATGATTGCACTCCAGTAATTTGCTGTATAGCAAATGCTTACTGCTTACTAATTCAGAATCTACTTCAGAACTGCAGGCTGAATGACGGCAAAATACAAAAGCTTTCCCGCCCCCACTAAAAGCACATATTCTCCCCTCTCTGTTGAAACAGCCTTCTTATCTTGGACACAGCACAGAGATTGGGATCTTGTGGCAAGTGTCCCTACTTCTTGACCAGAGGTCCTGTTCAGTAAGTCCCTGCTGTGCTGGAGATGTGTCCCAACATGTCCAAACAAGTTCATTCAAAATACTTGGACATCTGGTATCTTGGAGAAATAGCAATCATTCATGTAAGCAGAGAACCATCAGGCTAGTTTGCTCCTTTTCACTCTGTAGAAGCTGAAGATTTTATCGTATCTCTACAACGTGTGAAAATACTGAATCATATCTTTATAGAACATGTATGGACATGTACAACTGTAATTTGCATCATTTAAATGAAATAAACTAAAAACGCACATATTCTCTAATCTCAACGAACACAGTTTTTGTGGCTTGCAAACTACCACTCCTCAACTTGAGTAGTCTCTCAGCAACATGGAGATAAATTAGCTACTGATTTTCTTAAAGGGGAATGGAAAATAGTGCATAAAAATATCATAGCTCTGGAGTTGATTAAGAAACAATGTATATATTTTGTTTACAAATGTCTCAAGTTAAAGTGGTTTAAAGGATTATTTAATTACATCTTTTTTCCTGTTACTTGCTTGATTAAATCACAAACAAATGCATCCCAATTATAGTAATGATCAAAATCTGACAGATTTAACATTCTGAAGTTACTCAAATCCCAGTTTCTAATTTTTCAAGAGTAAAATACTAGGCTCACAGAGTCAATGTTAGAAACAGTGCAGATGCTACAATCTGATTTGAAAGATCTTCATTCTGCTTTATAATTATACTGTATGAATTATGCGAGTGCCAAAGACTTACCAGCCACATGACACATACATTTCAAGAGGGGAAAATCATTCCATGAAAATTAAGGAAATGTCAGTGCAGCAATTGTAGTTGGCCACAAAACAGTAATTCAATTTCTTAACTCCAGTGACTGAAAATCTCCTTGGAAAATTAAATGCATTGATATTCTCTAAACTCAGGAAACACAAGTTAAGGGACAAGGAGGAAATCTGTCCTTTTTGTCAGCTTTGGCTCAATTTCTTAAAAAGTTTGATGCTCGAAGGCAACCAATTACCTCACCTGCATTTATTGACAAGTTAAAACATTTCTAATTACTCTCAGATTCCAACTGCTATTACCTAGAAGCAACAGTGCCTTTCTAGATCCAAGTTAGATTTTAAAATAGATAAATTTTGGGAGCACATAGAACTTCCAAGGGAAAGATATAGAAAAGGAAGGGTAAGACAGCAATGCAGATTGAAATTCTTGAAGATTCTGATTGGGTCTATTTACCATTCACTACATAATTTACCTAGCAAACAATAAAAGCCAGAATTCAGCTATGAGGATACTACACTACCTGCTCTTTAGGCATTTCTGGTAATAAGTGACAAAATTGGACATAATAATTGGGACTATATGAACAGGGAAAGCAACAATGTTGATGTGCACAACAGATGTTCCAAAACAATTGAAAATGTTATACAGAGGAGTGCAAACGGTGCTGGGTTGTAATTTCCAGTAAAATTTATTTTGGCCACCATTTCCTCAGAAAAAAAACAAAGAAAATAAAATGAAAACAAAATGTGTCATCCTAAAAATATTTCTGCTGGTTCAGGCTTACATCATACAAAAAAACATGATCAAAACAGTCCAAAAAGCATGTGTACAATCTTTACTTAGCAAAGAATAAAATAAATACAAATTGATCCAAAAGGCTTCAGATGCATCTCAATTTTTGTCCTTTGTTTTTAGTACAGCTATTATCTAGATACACCACCAATTAAAAACCACAATGGCTTTGAAACAGAAGGAAAGACTGAGTAATTAAGAGGCATAAACTGCTAGTAAACAGTCGGTGAAAGTATAGAAACAAAAATTATTTAGCACAGGATCTTAAACAATATTAGAAAACAATTACATTTAAAAAAGTTTGTTGGATTTGCCTTTTCCTATCAAACCAACTTGAAAAAAATCTATACAATTTTCAAAAAACTGAACACCACTATCTTACAATAAGATAAACACTGATAGTAAGCCAGTGTTATGATACATTTTACATAATGTGCAGCACATTCAAACAGTTCTAGTGTTTGTTTTGCCCTCCTGAATGGACAGATAAGTAATATGGTGCTTCTTCCTCCTTAATTATCTGCATTAAATGTGGAAGCATGAGCCAAATGATCTCTAAGTATTTTTGCTAGTTTTGCTTTCCTGGTTCATTTGTTTGCTTCCCACCCCATTCCCCACTTTTTATATTAAGACAATAATAGAAGAGTAAAGGTATTTTAGCATATGAGGTAAAAGTGTCCATTTTAAAAATAACAAACGTAAACAGTTATAGTTACTTTGTTAGGCTCTGCTCTTCATAAGCCAACAGCACCAACATTTTCCAGCCTACTGCTACAAGGATATCTGGCTTTGAAAAACAGTGATTCCTGCTGCCATTTATGAACCATCATTAGGGCAAATATAATGTTCTTTTTTGCCAGGGAGGAAGGAAAAATTACAGACATTCACAATCAAGATGCAGACAGGTTTTTTAAAAAAGCATGATTCATGTCACCCCAAGTGCGTAGGTTTTTTGTTTGGGTCATTCACTGCTGGCTAGGGTAGATTCTCAAGAAAAACTAAGGCTGATAGGTCATTTAAAAGCAGGATGTTTAACAACACATTACCTCAGGTCACATGCAGTCAACCACCAATGGTTTTTTTGGCTGTAAAACATTACTGTTTTAGGACACAGTAGTTATGCCTCTCTCTATTCCTTCCACTACCGTTCAGGAATCAAGTACACTGTTCATTATGGTAGCTGGAGCTTAAAAACAGAAGCTACTCTTAGACAGGGCAGTAGTGGATGCACTACACTCCATCCTTGTATAGATGGAGTTAGTGAAAAATGATAATCACTGATTCCATTGGTCGTGCAATGACAACTTTCTGGAAAATGTATTTTGTGCATTGGTATGTGTACAAGTGTCTGTGCATTCACATGTATGT